GTGTGTGTGTGTGTGTGTGTGTGTGTGTGTGTGTGTGTGTGTGTGTGAGAGAGAGAGATTGCTGGCCAAAAACAGCCTGTATAACTTCAAGGACAAGTCGATTAGAATAGGATTAAGGATGTACAACCATGAGCACCCTCAGACTCTCCTGGCAGTCCGAAGGGGAATCGGACAGGAAAGTGAGAAGCTTGAGTCTGTGTGTCTGAGCTAGCACACAGCCAACAGAGGTGTATTGTTATATCAGTTTTCATAGTGCAGAGATGCCGGGGCGGGGCTAACACTTGAGGCTAAATACCGTTTTGATCACCGGTTCAAATAATTTGCGCTGTGCCTGTGCAAGCAGAAGAGGCCGTCAGTAGAAAGGCATGTATGTAGTTTATTCTTTTGTTCAGTCAGAACACATTCGCCATGACACTTTCAAGCATTACAACATAAGTAAACTCGATTGCTCATGAACAACTTGATGCTTCATATATGTTTTCGCATTCAGCACAATATATAAACTTCGCAATACATAAATAACAATAACTGTACGTCTCATATCAATATACACATTCGGCACATAAATACATGTGTACAATGACACAGCATAGAAATGTAACTCGATGCCTTATGAAACCATGGAAAATATACAGATTCCTTGTTCGATCATCACAACAAATCCTTCTGGAAAATTGCACAGATCTCTCGCTAGAATACATAACGAGTCCTCTTGAATAAATGAGTGAGAACTCAGTGGGGTGTGATTCACAGTCGATAACATTCAGTGCATCCGAAACACTGTAACACAAACCATGAACACAGTCACATGTTCTCAAGACAAGCTCACTGAACTTCACGGGTCAAAAATGAGAAATGGGGTGCCTGAGGTGTGTCTGTATGAATTTGGCGAGCACGGTTTATGTGCGTGCAGCTTCACTCCAGCGGCCATCTACACTTAGCTCATTAGGAACATCTGGAACATCGGGACATGCAGATTCATGCGAGTGTTTTGAGATGCATGAAAATAATGACGTTGATTTGAAAACGATGAGTGGCGTTTTACGCGGGTTGATTCTCGAAAGTCTCGCCGTCTTCTCGCTCTGCCGATGCTCCCTCCTCCCTCTGAAAGCAGACTGCCCCTCACTTGATAGCGTTTGCATCTCTGCATCTTTGTCTCAGGTGTCGGTAGCCTCTGACTCTGGGAGGAAATAGACTGCAGCTCTGCTACTGATACTGGATTCCCGTGGGGAAAGGCAAGACCCCCCTCTCCCCCGGGCTTCCTCAAACCAACTGCTGACTGAGTGGCTGCGTGGCGTCCACCTGATGGCCGTGCTGTGTGCTCCTGGACTTTGAAAGAAAAGTCAAACTGCTGACTCCTTTGACCACTGGCTTTGAAATGGAGCGTGTTTATTTGACTCAGTTCTGCTATTAATAGTTCACATGCCCCACTGAGAACAGAGCATCACGTGGCAGGTCATGGGGCTGACATTGGCACTCGGAGCACAAACCATCGGCTACTCACACCAACATGAAGCAGAGACTAAATTTACCTGACATTGGACAAGGAGGATGAGGTCTAACGTGTACGAGGGTGTGCTGGCGTTTCAGAGGATGACGCTGTGTGAAAAATTAGGGCATGACTACGGGATCTGATTTTGAGTTCAGTTGATAAGCTGCTTTATGGCACATTCATAACGCTGAAATGAGACCTACTGCTTCACTACGCATGCATGAATGCTGATCAAACCCTCACAGCACAGTTCGTAAGACGTTCCTCGAACGCCTTTGTCATTTGTGTTGTAAGGGAGGAACACCAGATGAGTCATGCCTGCACTACGACACGGTCGGTCATCTTAGCAGCCATGCTGTGAAGATGTTGCGAACCAGGGTTCAGCTGAGGAGACACACAGAACGTTTTGTATTCATGGATGTCGCAGTGCAGCACGGGATGCCTCGCTCTAGTTGGTTTGGGACAGTCCCAAGGCCGCGGCAATGGCGGCCAGTAGGAGGGCGGAACTGGCCAGGATCACCTCGCCTCCCGATCGGAACACCTGCCGACCATTCAGGGGCTGGACCGGCCTGAAGGTCCCCACCATCTGCTTTCCGCTGTGGAACTTGAGCTCAGAGAACACCCGCAGCTGGAGGAACAGAAGAGAAACACAAATGTTATGCTCCAGAATTTGGAAAGAGAATCTAACTAAGTACATTTACTCATACCATACAATATTGAAGAACTTGTACTATGAGTATTTCAATTTTGTGCTACTTTATAGTTTTGCTCTTTTATCTGACAGCTTTAATTACAAGTTACTTTACTGATGAAGACTCTACACAAGGACACGAATGCTTATGAAATGCCATTCATTGTTAACCCTTGGTTACCCGATGTTATGCGACCGCTTACAAAAGAGCACTGTCTAGTTGGGGCCCCTTGTCAAATTTCAGATGTCTATGAGTTCCTCCAAATTCCAACACATCTCCCCTTTAAATACTCCAATGGAGGCCCACAGAGGTGAAATAATTGAGTATTTCTAAAACAAAAAAAGATGTGAAATGTTTTTAAAATCTCCTTGCATTCCTACACTTTATCTGGTCTATGATCCTGACCTGTTCCATGCTCAGAGGGATGGGATTCTCAAACAAAGTCCAAATCACAGCCTCGGTGCACCCCGGGGTGGTGAGAGAGCCCTTGTAGCGGTAATAGGCGGTCAGATTCTGCTCAGGTGGGATTAGTTGTGCCAGGGAGACGGAATGGAAAGAAGTATTTCCATCTGCAAACAGAAACAACCACAGAATTAACGTTAGCAGCCCCGCTGTGCAGCCATGTCTTTAGTTGGTTATTTTGAACCTCGTGTACGTACTTGCAGCTTTGATGCTTTGCAGAGCGTTGATGATGGGCTCGTACTTCCGGTTTGCACTATTGGACCTCTGAGAAATGTAAATATACACATTTCAACACAGTTTCATACCGACTTGAGGTCTGTACGGTCGTAGCAGTTCGATTTCAATATGATTACCTCGTAGAAGAACCCAAGGACTGCAACTCCCTGCGGGTCTGATAGTGCTGTTGTCAGATCAGTGTAATGGTGCTTCATGTGAACGATGTGCAGCTGTTGAGACAAAATGACTGATGTTATCGCTGTTTCACAATCATTTTTTACAGTGCGTGTAGAATCCTATTGTAAATGGGACCTGTAAGAAAAGTCACGATTTTATCAGTTTACAGACATTGCAACATTTGTTGAGCGTACTTCCTGCTCTAACAATAGACGTGGACACCTCAGATATCAGTTAAAGTTCATCAGTTCTTTATAAAAAACGCACCCATAGAAAATAAGTTTAATAGCCCAATCACTATTTTTGACTATTTAATTAAAGGATAAGTCTGGTGATTTTATATATTGTCCACAAATTCCACAAAAAGACCAAAGCCAGTAATTCATTTATCCTAACAGGTCTGTGTGTACAGAGCTCCATTGTTTTAAAAAGACCTATTAATAATAATAATATATCAATATGCCACATCACAAACACTGGCAATCTGTTTATTTTGAGAGTCAGCCCTTCATACAACATCCTGCTGCTGTAAATACTCACAAGCACGAAAATAGTTTGTAACAAATGCACTTTTTACTCCCATTTGAGTAACGTTCAGTGTCCAGGGAACTATTGGAAAAAAAACAGCAATGTATTTGTGGCCTGTTTTTGAAAGATTCATGTCTTGAGTAGGAATGAATGGGCTACAGACACGGTAGAGAGGTCGGGAAGTACTGAGGGATGGACTAATGCACGGTCTTGGTCTTTTTAATGGGAAAAATGTAGAACATCACCTGTCCCTTTAGATTTACAGTATATTCACATACATATTTAAAACGTTCAATTTATAGGGAAAACCTGCCTTTTCATGATCCTAGTTCAAACTAGGATCATGAAAAGAAGTTTTTCTGTTGAGTTTCCAGCTTTTACGCATTGGCAAACCTTTAACAGCTTCAGTTAATAACTTCACTGAAGACGGGATGTGTGTGTGTTTTGTATGGTAAGGTTGAGGTACCTCCATGGGATACTGCTCCCCATCGATGGTGTGTTCGGAGCCCGGCCCTCCATTGTTGCCCCAGTGCAGGTGGAACTGCACAGCCTTGTAGTTGGTCGGTAGGCCTCCACTTGAGATGGTGCTCAGGTGAGGAACTCCAACCTGAACTGGAGTGGGACACGCATCGTGCATAAAGACGTCACACAACAGCTCCACAGCACTGATGGCTATCTGATGGAAAATGGAAAATGTGCTCACCTGAGTGGCCGTTGTTCTTGATGGTGCCTCTGAAGATCTGCTGGTAGTTGTCGAACTGGAAAGGAGTCAGCCGCTCGTCTTTCAAAGTCTTCCTGGTGACGATGTTGATGGGAGACTGGTTTCTTCCATCACAGTCGCTGTGGGCGTGGTTCCAATTGTCTGGCGCTAAAACAAGAAAAAGACCTAAGTTAACAAGTTAACAAGTCATAGCAACGAGACGGCAGTCATCAGGGTTCGTAATGATCTTCTTTTAGGAGCTGCCATAGGCTCAATGTGTTTTATTGATCGACCTGCTTTTCATATACCGTAGATGATCACTTGATTTTAGTTGAATGTTAGTGGGCATGTCGGGTAATGTTTTAGAGATTGTTCTGTGTTCCTTGACACCTTGTGTGCCTAAAGGCGACTGTTCATCCTCTGTGCATGGAGTACCGCAGTGACTTGTCAGTCTTCATCAGTATGTTACCTTTAGATCCATTATTTCAAAAGCATATCAATTTTGCAACTGAACATACGTGTGTCTTACAGAAGTTCTCAGAACTTCTTTCGGTTAGACTCCAATAAATCAGAAGTTATTATAATAGGTTCAGATTGAAGTCCAGGCTGAAAACCAGAGGAGCCTCTTCAGTCAAGGCCCCTCGGCTTCGGAAACAACCTGCAATCAGGCTGGTGAGCTCTTCATCCTCTTATAAACACATTATTTTCTCAAATTGTTCTGTTCTGTGCTTTCCCTGCATTTGTTCTTTTTAATTTAATTTGCCCTTTAGTTTAATTGCTTGTATTTTATTGCACTTTACATCTGTTGGATTTACGCAAAATGTGAAGCATTTTGTAACTTGCTTTTGAAAAGTACCATATAAATAGTTATTTTTATGATCAAATAATGTTGCACTTTTTTGTATTTTATTAAGCTTACCATTGCATTGATGATCACAGGTGAACTGGGACTGATAGCACCAATCTGAAACACAGAAAATTAAAAAATAGATTGTCATGGCAGAAATCTAGCAAACGTCCAGTTTACGATTTGATGTCAAAATCAAATAATGTAAAGATCACAACACACACACACACACACACAGTCAGCCTGCACCGCTAACCTCTGACACCAACAAGCCTCAGCCTATTGTGAGGGCAGAATGCGATGTTTCTTCTTAGAATAATCACTCGCAACTGTCCAGCTGGATTGTTTGTGTTTTTACAAACGTGTCCTTTTATTATTAATAATTATTTTCCCCTTATTGCAAACAGTGAATTGTTCTCCTATGTATGGGATTGGCTCCTGACTGTTATTCCCGGCCATACAAAAAACCCTAATACACCGGAATTGTCTTCCTATTCACAAAAAAGTTGCCGTTTGAGCTTTATCTTCCCGTGCTATCAGAATAAACACAGAGCCAATCTTTTGCATCAGCGAGGTCGCATTCTCACACGTTTGTCTGAGGGTTTATTAATATTTCACAATTGGTTTGCATGTTTCCACCCCGTACTCGGAGACAAATATCTGCAGCTACCTCACAAATGAAATATTTATGAAAAACACACATGCCATTGAAAGAATACGAGGAGGGCCTCCCGCTGTGGTATTCGACCGGTGGCTTCTCCCGGTGTTTGTGAAGGAAGTCAGTGTTTGGTTTCTTTGCCGTGTTGGAAAGCCGCTTCCTCCTGCTCTGGCACGATAATGGTACTTGGCAGGTGTTTCAGATTGTATTCACTGGTGCCGTCATTCACTCTACTGGTTGCAGTAAATAAAGAGATGCTGCTTTCTTTAAATCTTTGTTATAGTCTTATTCATGTTGCAGGGTTTGCATGTGTGTGAGTGGAACCTAAAATGCTCTTATTGCTCTGTGACTACTGCCTGGTGGCTGAGGGTATTAAAAGATTATTTTTATTTTCAAATCTTCACTCACTTTCGGCTACATGGTCTGACAGCATGGGTGGTAGCTGTGCAAATGTGTCTCTCTGTACTCAGAAATCTGCATTGAGGCCACATGTTTGCTCATGTTTGATGTGCAGTGGTGGAAAGTACATTTACTCAAGTACGGTACTAAAGTACAAATTGGAGTTAGTATTTTCTTATTATGCCATTTTCTACTTCTATTCCACTGGGAAAATATTGAAATCTTTACTCCATTGCATTTATTTGGTAAAACGTTACTAAGATATTTCATACAAAACATATGAGTTCATATATGATGCACAGCTATAAATTCAACTAACTGTAAGGAATTACAATGTTTGTTAAATTAAGTTCCACCAGCTACAGCTCTATGAACATAAATGGGCCTAATGGTGTAACACTACAATCCTCTGCATTATACTTTTGATACTTTAATAAGTCGCCTACATTTAGCTAACTTAACAAATAAACTTTTTCTGGTAACACTTTACATTTAGGTATGAGGAACCAACTGCCAGTGAACCATTAGTTCATATGAGTAACTTCCAATCAAATTTAATAGAGTAGCTAATGATTAGTTAATTGAGAAATTAATGAGGGGCAAATGAGGAATGACTCATTAACAAGTACTTCTAATTCCTAATGGACTAGAAAATGATTAGTTACTAGAAAACAGATATCAAATATTATATTATTTAATCATTATCTCATGAATAAGTGATCTTACAGACCATTTTTATGAGTCATTCCAAAACTAGCTCAGTAACAAACAAATTAATTACTAATTACTTAAACAATCAGCCCACTGCTTTGTGTTACCCTTTTACTTGTATAAGAGTATTTTTACAATGGTGTATTGTTCGTTGTACTAATGGATCGGAATACTTCGTCCATCACTATCTGTATATTGTATGGTTCATCGTCGCTTGTTTTTATCTCAGCCAATCAGATTACTGTCCGCACAATTCTTGACCAATCAGTGCTGGGCTTTGATCTCCTGCGCGGCGCAGAGCATGTGGACAATATGAATGGGTTTCAATGGATCCCAGAAATTTGTCTTGAGAGCGCGAGCTGAGGAAACTGTCAAGAAGAAAACAAAAGACGGAGAAAGGAAAATAAATGGGTCTCGTCAGCCCGCACGTAGACCGCAGTGGAAATGACACGTGAATGCGCGCCGCGGAGACGCATCTTTTCATGCCATTGTGTTGTCTGAGCCAGACATAAACTCTGCGCTGTGGACGCTGCGTTTCACATGAAAACACGGTTCAAAGGAAAAGCAGAGATCTAGACTCAAAAGAGACTTCGAGGAGGGGCGCAGAGATGCAGCCCCCCCCCCCCCCCCCCAAAAAAAACGAGGAGTCTGTTTTATTTTCTTTCTTTTTGTTTTTGCATTTCCTACAAATCAGAAAAGAGAGCGTTTGACTGCCCTTATCAGGTTTTCCTTTTCTCCACGAGCACATGCTCTCCATCTAGCTGCGGGGGTTTGCCAATGAAATATACAGAACAACTATACAGACAACGCGCTGCAGCGCTGGAAGGTGCTCCTCTCAGCGTGCACGTGAGGAGGCGCAGAACGCTGCTCCTCGTCACTGCATGAATGAGCACGCGGAGCGGCGCATCAGATAACACATAATGGGCCATATTTAGTGTGGTTAATAGTTTCAGTGCCTATGAACTGCTGCTCTATCTCAAAAACCACTAAAACATGTTCAGTTATATTGCAAGGAAAACAAACGGGCATTACATAACTCAAGGATCCGGTCAATTATTATATATTTGAGCTTTTGAATAAATTAAAAGCGTATCGTCTCTCTGATGTAGCAATGGCAAACAAAGCCATGTTAACCAGCTCTCTCTACTGTATTCATATTAGATGGTTGGTCTCTTAAAATGGCTTGATTGGACTTCACAGCATTCTGAGTATCCCAACATGAATAAGAAATCATAATTCATTTATATTTAAAAGACGGACAGAATGATGTATTTGGCATTCATAAGGAAACGTCATCAGGGGAGCGATTGTCACGTTTTCTTCCAAATGAGCGCATTTCTTAACCGATGACTAATAAGTTTAACTGATTGCAAAAAAAGGGTTCCGTCACTTCAGTCACCAGCCAGTCGTTAGCGCTGATTCACCCCACTGGAGTCTTGGTGCCAAACCTCGGGGATCTTGTCTCTGAAATGAACGCCTCAGAATCACCTGCTGTGAATTTGGAGACATTGGCGGTGCGCAGCTCGACGCGTCTCTCTGCGGTAACGAGGACGCAAATGGCCGTCATTGGCTCAGTGTGGATCAGAGCAGGTGCACGAGAGAGAGAGAGAGAGAGCGCAAGAGACAGACGGAGAGAGAGAGAGAGATGGATTATAGAGCGAGAGGTGTCCGGACCACAGTGGCACTGAGGCAATCTCGGCTCGGTCAGATCTGGCAGCTTTTTTTTTTTTTTGTCTTTTGGCTCCGTTGATACAGGATCTCTGAATCCTATCTGCTCTTGAACAGGGAGCCGGTGGTGAAAATGCAAGTTTCAGATGACAATGTCGGACATAAGGAGGAATGCGGGGTGCCACAGCAGTGTTTTGGACAGAGCAGGTGTGTATGTGGAGAGCGTCACGCGGAGCGAGCCTCTCTCTCATCTGGGGAGCCCTGGCTTTTTTTTCTAAATCTATTTTTGGATTTCTGTCTTTTGAAATGCTCGGGATTCCGCAGTAGATCAACTTTCTAATTGAATAGTTGGAAAAACTGGTAAAAACAAAAAAAGCAACTTCATCATTCTTGTCTCATGGAGAAGCTCTCTGATGCATTCATTATTCATTATATGTATTGTTCAGTGTTAGGAATTAAGTAGCTGACATACATTCAGATATTGATAATCAATCACTTGCATTCTTAGATGACACAGCTCACAGATTTTGATCAGAAATATAAGAAACTTATAAAAAGACACATTTCATCTCCTAGTAATATGATAGGATAAATATCTCTTAATTCAGTTAATTAACCAATTTCGGACCTCTACTGTGGCAAATGAAATGTAAAGGAAACCTCCGGTTGTTTGACATATTGTCCATGAACAGAAAGCAGACTCACCTTCTGTTCCTGTGCAGGTTGTCCAAAACGATACCAGGAGAACGGGCAGGATTAGTTGCTGCATTTTGGAGCTGAGTCGGCCGAGGGAAGGCAACACAATGACTTGTTTTTTCCAGTGTGATCGCATTCTTGCAGGGGGTCTTCTACTTATCTATCACCATACCCCGACAGGAAAGAAAAAGAGTGGCCCCTCCCCCTTTGGGCACCATCTCTGATAAAGCTCTCTTTACTGATAAGGGCTCCAATGAGGGGGCCCATCAATGGGCTCCTGTTGTGCAGGAGCCACATCTAATAAAATCCTAAGTCACGGTGCTGATAGAAATACATCCTGGTGATTGGGGAGGTAGGCATGGCACTGATGGGAATCTGATGGAGTTAATCATCTATGCGGGGCAGCTCGTTGCTCCACAGGTAACTCAAGGTGGCCCTCAGAGGATTAACTGTGAGGAAATGCACTCTAAGAAGGGATGTGTTCAAAATGACACAATACGTGTTGAATTTCAACACTAGAGTGTGCTCAGGGACAACTCATGTTGTGTTAATTTCAACACAGCAAACGTGTAACATTTCTACACAACAGCTGTTACATGGCTTAATAACATATAAATGTGTTATTTTTACACATTATGTGTAAATCATGTGTAACACAGATAAACACATACAAGTGTTATTTCTGCACGTTGTGTGTCACCAATGTGTAATGGAAGTACCAGGTGACTGTAATGAATATTTTTCTTTCGATAATAATGAAAAGCAAGGATACAATCATGAGCCTTTATTTAATCTTTCATTTAAAATTGTCAACTTTTTAAAATACTTTTTTTCAAACAAAACAGGCTTTACATGCATTTGTAATACAACATATACAAGTCAAAAAATTCCTTAAATGTTATCACTGAACATGGCAGTATCAGAACCACACCTACAAAACCTTGTACCTCGGATTGAGATAGAGCTCGTCATTGCTAAAACTTGACATAATATCAAGAGGTCGAACATCTGCAACATTGTCCAAATTTATCATTTCAAAATCTTTAGTTTGTTGCACAACATATGCATAGAAATGCTCATCAAAGCACTGAACTTCAAGCACTCTAATAAGAAAGAGTAACTTCTCCTCCTGGGGTAGGACATGAATTATCTGACCAAATAAGTGCTCCCCGTGATACTGTGTTTTTAGTGGCAGCACAGATCCAGTCCTGTATGTCTGGCCATTTACAGTCAGTGAATGTGTAACATAAATGATGCTACCAATTGTGAAATCTTTGTGCATGGCTGACTTAAGTCCCTCGAGTATAAGATCAGAACCAATGTTCACAGGGTAGGCATTGCCGACATATTTTTTACAAAAAGGGTCCCCAAGCTTGAAATTCTACATTTGTTGAACCTGATGTTTATAGGCGAGTGTTTTGGCAATATTTTTGAAATTGCATACCACATGTGCTTGCCTCTTTAAGGGATTATGCTTTGCCTCAAATCTCATACACCACAAATGAGAGAGGTCCAAACATACACAGCATTCTTGGATAGTGTACCATAAAATGGTGCTTAGGAATTAGATTCCGTTCAAACAGCTTCTTGTAAAGTGTACGGTGATCTATGATGAGCTGCTTAGGAAACACAGCAAGCCCAACACTGACAACAGCTGCAAAAATAATGCTACGGATTTCCCTCAACAAAATGAACAGATGCCAAAACTTGTCTTTCCGATCAATGAAATCCCCCACTAAAGAGGGTAAAACTTGCAAGAGACTCCACATTTGGGAGGCAGTTTGTTTGACAGAATTTTCTGAGGATCTCAAATTGATGACACTTGGTTTGTTTTTCTCATTCATGTAACCATAGTCAAAACCAGCAATCCTGTGATTAAGTTGCTCCAACGTGAAAAGCTTTTTTCGTCATAAATGAAGTGACACAACAATAACTTTACCTCCAAAGGAGCCACACCCTCAAGTACATCATGCATTATGTCCACACATGTATTTTCTGTTACATGAAAATATTGCAGACTGTTCAAACATGAATTCCCTTTTACACCAGTTGAGCTTGGATCACTGACCCGAACATGTTGCTCATAGTTCTCTCTGGTCCTTTTTTACAACATGGTCTTCATCAAACACTGACTGTACTTCCTCCTTGTCAATCACACAAAACGGACTAAATTTGTGTGCAGAAAAGCTTTCTACATAGCCGCACAGTGTATGCACTGCCAAATGATCTGCTGTCACGATACAAAGAGTTCCTAACAGCTTTCCAATTTGTCCATTAACTTCTACTTCTATACCAGAGTTTTCAAGGACTCTGATGTCCTCAAGAAGTGGCTCTAGTATCGTACCAATCCCATACGTCTCTAGATGAATATTATTATTGGACTGAACCTTCATCTCTTACTTCCCCTTGTTCCTTTACATTTAAGGTTAGAATAGTCCTTGTATTTCACACCGTCGGTACAGTACTTGATATGTCCCGAGTCAGCTTGTTCCGGATCTTTATTGAAGCTATATGACATCTACAGTAGCACGCTTTGCAAAGGAACATTATTAGAGAAGTATTAGCAACAAAATGTATGAAGTGTGTATTGGATAAATAACATTTATGTATTAATATACAATGTTACTTGGAGATGGTGGGTTTAACAGCTAATCTATTATAATGCATCTTATAACCAACTGGCCTTGAGATAAAAGTAGTGCAGTAAAAAGTCTAAATATTTCCCTCTGAAGTTTAGTGGGGTAGAAGTGTCAAAAGACATTAAATAGAAATACTCAAGTACCTCAGATTGTACTGGGGAAAGCACTTCAGCAAATGTACTTAGTTACTTTTAATACACATTTGAAATTCCAAAACATATTTGGTATCTAATGAGAAAATGTGGGATCAACACCAAAATACAGTTCTGTGGTGTGTAATGACTGATCCACTGCAGTGGGGTTTAATGACTCAAACAGTGAGACTGAGCAGTAAACAGTTTATCTCTCACACACACACACACACACACACACACACACACACACACACACACACACACACACACACACACACACACACACACACCCCTTCACCTGAGATCTTTAAAAAGGTTTATTTTCACGCCCAATTCACCCTATTCAGAAAACCCGTCGAGTCAGTGCAACACTTTGCAAAGACATCTCATCAACTCTTTCTACTGAAAAGTTCGGTAAGTACAGTGAGGCACACTGGGAGACTCTCCTCTTATTAGCTTGTGTTGCTCTTCTTTGGACATGAGCCTGAGGAAAATGGACATGATGGTCTTGGATTAATTTTGTGTGTGTGTGGTAATAAAACATGTAACGCATAACAATGTAAGCTTCCCTTTTTTCAGGAAAGGAAATTGATTCATATGTTGGAGGAACTTTACCGGAGAAACAAAACCCATGATTGTGAAATCATGCAAAGGTGTCTTGACTTGCTCTGCTGAAGGTCTCCTTGCAGTCCAACACCCACGTGCAGCCTTGCATTACCTTTGATAGTAAAGCTCCATCTAGTGGACACATGGAGGGAAAGCACTGCTGTTGTTTTTCTTTAATGCAGTGCTGGGAGAGGTTTTCACATCCTTAAACTACAGTTGACACAATGTAAGCAGCATCTTAATGTTTTAACTGGTAGAGGTGGAGCTTACTTTAACTACCTGATATACTTTTGGGTCATTTATTCACTGAAAAGCAGAGCATCACATTTGAAATGCTCATTACCATCAATACTACTAATCAGTACAGAGTAAACTGTAAAAACTAAGTGTCTCACATATCCAATAGGGAGGAACTTAAAAATATTTTTAGAGGGGCTTCAAGAAATCCTTTACATACGGAGGAACCCCCAACAACTTCTGACCACCACAGTGGGCTCCAGCAAGCACGTTTGTTCAGCTCGCAGCTTCTGGAGGAACCCTTTTTATTTGAGCGAGTCCTCGAGCACATTAGAGGGTTCCTAGCAGAACCGAGTGCATGACCTACCAACAGGTCCTTTTGAGGTGATTTTCTGAAGGGCAAAATGAATCAGACAGACTGTTATGCAGCAGATTGTCAAGATATTTAGCCTATTTCTCAAATTGTATCGCATTATGAATATGTAGACACTGGGCTACCAGGTTATGTCTTGGCAGCGAGTGACAGGGCCCTTTTCACATGTCAGACAACTTCCACGCTGACTTGAAGCTGGTTATGTTTACTTGTGCTAGTGGAGTTCACCCATCCAGCTGGATGACATACGACTTGTAGACAGATTACGGTTTACGACAGGTTCCGAACTTGATAAAAGCTATACGAAGCTCAATGAACCTAGAGCAGCCTAGAGCAGCCATGCAGAAGATATCTAGTCTCGTTTGTGTGTGGAAAAACGTTGTCTACTACTCCCTGGAACATCATACCATGGTTGGAAAGTATTGATACATGTACAGTATAGGACAGTATATGATCAGCATCAGCTGTGGCCTTTTCTTCAATTTCTAAGGTCAGTCATTTAATGGAATACTCTTCATAGCACAAGTTCTGGAAGAGCGCGGTGTTAGTTCTATGTGGGAGTTTTGAGTTGTTAGCTAGTTTAGTACTTTTACACTCGTCTAGGCTCATTAATGGTGCAGCCTTTGAGTTGGTTATAACAGTCAAAAAAGTAATACTATTGTATGTTGACAGACGTGATGAAAAGTCAAAGTATATTATGTTAAAAAGTCAGTACAGCAAGTCAAAATAAGTCAAAACAAAATCCTAGTTTAGTCATTGTATAGTATACAGTATGTTGAAAAAAGTCACAGCATAGTTTGCCAACAATATTTTATAAACGGATTATGTTTCATTCTGAAAAGTAACTAGTGACTCTAGCTGTCAGGTAGTACAGTGAAAAGTTTAAAGTGTAAATCATTTAGACGGATTTGTTTTCATTGATTCGACTACTTGAGCACAAAGTTTGGTATGTTAGTTTTAATTTGAGGTTTTGCAGTCACACAGATTCCTCTCACTTTCCCCTCACACACCCAACTCATTGGTGTTTTGTCTCTTTTGTTTGTTATTCTTTGTTTTGTTCTTTCAGTCATACTCACTTTCTATCATATACCAGGGCATTCACAATGTGTTTGCATTCACAGTGTGTTTGGGCCTCTTAACAATTGGTTGTCCTGGATTATTATGATTTTTCAGCCTTATCACCTGATTTACTGGCAATGACATTTTGGTCTCATCACTTCGGACACAAAGTGCACACTACATAAACCCTTTGAATACCATTCCCAGAGCGCTGTAAAAAAAATAAGCATGATAGACAACAGATCCACGATATAATCTTTTATTTTAACCCATGGGATTTAACTTTTACAGTGCATTTCTTTACAACAATTATTCATTAAGTGACATGTTTTAGCCCCCACTACGGATCAGAAAACTGCGTGTTATATTTCTGAGTTCCTCTTAAAGATTTTGACTTCATGGACACTGTGTGAAAAAATCCCAAATATTAGACAATGGAAAAATCACACAGGTTAACTAACTCAGTGACATCCCATCAACCATTAAAACGGTTAGCCTCATTATCAAACTGAACCATCTGTTAATCTTTAGTTGTCTCAATTAAGCTGCTATCCATCTATCTGTACCATTACAACATAGAGATAGGTGGCCAATTAGAAACCTGCTGCCATCCAGAGGAAGAAAAAAAAAAAAAAAGGCTTTAAAATGAGACGGAACGTAATATGGCACTATTGTCTCAAAGAACAACCAGGAGACACAAACATCTTTTTAAAAGCGGACTGTGGCCAAACTCCCCTAAACAGAAGAAGAAACTCCGAGCACTTTGTCCAGTCTTCACCGCCAGTTAATCTGAGTAGGAGTCAGTCAGATGGACATCAAGCTTCATGTGGACACCAAGCCATTCATTCACACGTCACAGAATACAGTACCATCAGATGTAATATTCTCACAGTAGAAGTAGATATTACAGAAATCTGCTTTGCCCAATGATGTCGTGTTCTCTTCCTCTTTGCACACTTCCCACAAAACAAACGCACACTGCATCTGTCGGTCCACACGCATCCCTCAGAGCGTCGAATGCCACGACATGGCTATACTGGAGAAAAGCATTGATAAAGACGGAACCACGTTGACTGTGCATATACATAATTTTGAAAACACATTGCAGCAATGAACACATATACGACCCACCAAATGCACGAGAACATAAACTCGATCCAGTTATCCATTTACATATTACATTCAGGCTCCAAGAAAACGATGCAATGACTAAGTAAACAGCAGATTTCTCCCTTTTGCTCAAGTTTGGTCTCAAATTCCCTCAAAAACACGACAGCTAGTAGTGCACAAAATAAGAATACAAAATTAGACTTTTAAATACTGTAGCAGCAATTTTTTTTTCTTTTAAAGTTGAAAGCCTCCAGTAGTACAGGTAAAGGCTTTGGAGTCCCCGACACGTGGAAGGGTGATAGATTGTCCTCTGAAGTACGAGACAGTGTCTATAAGGAGGGTGCAGGTGTTTGGTACTAAAGGTGCGTGACTCTAATGGGGTGGACAGGTTGGAGATGTGTCTCGGACCGGGCACCGCTAGAGGACGGAGCTGTGTGGAGGCCACTCGACGCCTCAGTGCTCCAGGCTGAAAGTGTCTTCCAACAGGAGGTTTTGTTCTAAAAAGGAAAACCTCCCCCGCTGACACACCTCCATCTCACACCTTTTCCTCCTCTCCGCCTTTCAGACAGACCGTCTTCACAGAGCATCTCTGCTCCCAAATAGAGCCTCCCAAAGAGCAAGAATTTCCTGCAGCCCCTGCAGTCAAAACCACAGCAGGTTGGGGTTACAACGGGGCGCTCAGCTAAACGAGCAGGACAGAGCCGAGGCGGGCCATGCTACGCAACACTTCTCAGCTGGAGGCTGTGGTGATGGCCTTCTTGAGCTGCTGGCTGCGGATCTCGCGGGTGCGGGCCTCGAGGAGCAGGTCGTGGCAGGTGTTGCAGACCAACACCGCGTCATACAGCTGCTGGTCTGGGATGGGCAGCTTCAGGTGACAACAGTCTTTACAGAACACATTGCCACAGTTCCTGAAGATGAAGACCACAAAGGAAGTTAGTAATATAAGACGCCTGGGTTTCAAACTAAATACTTGCTGCAGCAAAACATTAATGCTTAAAATATAGCTTCTTCCAAAAAAACACTTTCTAACCATAAGCGGCACAAGAAATAACCTTTGATGAGGGTAATTCTGTGTAAACTGTTAATTAATCCGCGGTTCACATGTGTGCCAAACCGTGGGGGGGGGGATCCGTACGGATCGACAAACCGTTACACCACTAATGTAGAAACACACACATCTTTACATTTTCTTAATTTGAGATTCTTTGTGTTCATATATGCAAGTAAACTACAGTGAAGCCCCACCTGCAGTGATGACGCCTCTTGGCTATCCAGAACTCACAGTCACAGTTGAAGCAATGGGAGGCCATGTGGTCAGGCACCCACCTCGTGACCTACACACACACACACACACACACACACACACACACACACACACACACACACACACACACACACACACCTCTATCAGAACAGTACTGTAAAAGGAGATGCTCCCAGCCATGCAGGTGAGGGGAAAGAAGGAAGGTGTGAAGGGTTGAGATAGAAATGATTTTAGGCATTGAAGCACTAAAGCACACGGACCTCTGTGTCCTTGGGTTCCACTCGATCCCAGCTGCCCTCAGAAAGACGGTCCTCACTGTGGGTCGACAGAGAATCCTCCTCGTTACTGTTGTCCGACTCTCGCAGACAGGTCTGAGAACAGAGAGAAGACGAGCTCAAGTGACAGACAGTAATGTGAGAAGAGACAAGTAAACATCTGCAAACGCTGCAGAAAGGAGCTTCTAGCACTGGACAGTCTGTCGTTATTGTCATCACTGAAAAAGCTACTCACGATGTCGTCCTCATAGTCGATGTCGGGCTCTGAGGGAGGCGTACTGTACTGTTTACTCTCCAGCCTCATCTGCAGCTGTCGCACCTGCTGCCTCAGCACCTCCACCTCCTGCTTGTAGCCGGCCTCGATCTGCCGCAGTCTCTGCTGCACGGCATCCATGGGCACCGGAAGCCCGTCGTCATCGAGGTACGCTGGGGTCTGGGGCGGGGGAGGGGAGCTGGAAGCGGAGGGCGAGGAGTACGAGGCGGGCAGGAGCTGATGACCCGCCAGGGAGTAGCTGTTGAGGGCAGCGGCAGCAGACCCACACAGACCGGTGTAGCCTGCACTCCTGGCAGCAGACAGCCATCCAGCCTGCAGAGGGCTGCTGGGATAACAGAGAGCCTCTCTACGGTAGCACTGGGACCCGATGGCGAAGCCCTGGGAGCGGAGCAGCTTACTGGCAAGCCGACGGCTCTGGTAAGTGTTGTGCTGCAGGGCCCGGCTGGCGCCATAGTGACTGGCACTGCTGCAGGCAGACTGTACCAGACCCTGGACGCTCTCCCAGTGGGAGCCGAGCAAGGACAGGTCTGTGAACTGGCTCTGGGGGATCAGGTGGCGAGGCGCTACCTGGTTACAGTCTACAGGAGCTACTGCAACCGTCAACACACGCTCTTTTGCTTTCCCTACGTCTGTGCTCATGTCCCCTTTCTCCTTCTGGGGTTGAACCAGGGCCTGTGACTTAGGCTTCTCCTCCTCATTCAAATTATTCTCGGTGAGGTCCTGGCTCACTGTGGGTGGCAGGGCAGGGGGAAACTCTCCCTCACCTGTGAGAGTCTCTGTGGAGTCCTCCATGGGAAGGAGTGGTGTTTGCTGCTTCAGATCCAGCAGGTCTGCAGGTTCTGGGAGGCCGTCAGCGTGGCCGTTAAGCAGCGAGGTGGGTGCTGCAGGCTCGGTGCCCTTGCAGGGGAGAGGTAAGCAGGGCTCTGACCTGTGAGTGGGTGACGTGGTGCTTTCAGCAGTCCTACGGGGGCTCTCAGCCTCCAGCGGGGGTGGAGGGAGTGGAGAGTTAGTGATCTGAGGCAAAGCCTGTTGAAGGACAGGAGTGGGGAAGGGAGTGTGAGCGAGTGGGACGTCCTCACTGAGAAGGACCGGGGAGAGGGGTAGAGAGGGCAGGGGCTGTGTGGTGAGACAGGGCTCCTCAACTGTGTCTTCACAGCCCTCTGCATCCGGGACAACCTCTGGGGTCTTGGTAGGACTCGGATGCAGAGGTTCCCCCTCACTGCTGTCCAGTCCAGCGTCAGGTTCGACCTCAAAGACGTGCGCAGAGGTTCCTTCCATGGCTGGGGAGGACTCGGGGGCAGAGCGACCCTCCTGGCAGTGCTTATTGAGATTTGGGTCGCTGGAAGTGCGTGTCAGGGGCATCCCGTTCTCAAACGCTGATAGCAGGTTGTCCATGGAGCGGGTCTTGGGAAGTCTGGAAGTCAGAAAATAGATGAAGGGTTTATTTTTTCCACAGGCGCAGAAATGGCAATGATGCAATTCTCTGTGTGGGACTGTAGAGGGCAGTCTGGCTCTCTGTAACATGAGGGATATCTGAATTAATTTCTATCTGAGGCCAGTGAGTACAGATACTGTGTAACCGATCCGATTTTGCATCAAACCAACACACCTGTCCAGGGACCGGGAGGTGAGTTCATCTCCTGTGACACTCGGGGGGAGGTAGAGCTCCATAGAATCGTCCACAGCGGTGCAGGGGGACGAGGTGGGCAGGTAGACAGCTGTCCACAGCTGTAACGCTCGTGTGTGGCACACTGGCTGCAGCACCTGTCAGACAAACAAGTGACGGGGACAATCCCAGAAGGTCAACATACAGTAATGATGGTGCCCGTTACTTTCATAGTCCTGTTCTACCACTGCTGTGGGTGGAGAACTATGACCATTTCTATGCTTTTCTTAGAAATCATTCACAGAGGATTATGGCGGGTATGATCAAACTAGAAGTGAGTTCTATTAAAAATACAGTTTGAGAATGAAAGTGAAAATTCAGTCATACTATGCATTAATCATCAATACCACTGTTCTTTGTTTCTACAAATGAATAATAGTCTAAAAGTAATAGTGTAATAACATTGTAAGGACAGTGGTAGGTACCATATCATGACTGGGGATGTAGAGGAAGTTCTGGAAGTTCTTGTTTCCGTTGCGAAGCAGAGACCACACCGAGCAGGTACGTTTGTAGATGTTCCTCATCTCCCTCTCGCGAGCATTGTTGCACAGGAAGGTCCCGTAAAGACACGAGTACGTGTGCTGCACCAACTTGACCTGGACACACGTGGAGCATGAAGTCAGACCTTTCACAACGGCAATGATTTACATTCCTTAAGGTTTGATCGTGATCTGTCAATTCAGTGCAACAGCTGATTGTCGTGAAACACGATTAGCTTGTTACAAAATTAGGGTGTTGGTTCGCACTTCTTATTGGCTGCAACTCGAGGCAATGGCTCAAGGATTATAATGGAATGCAAAAAACTGATTCATAATATACAAGTTCATGTATTACATGTATTGTGTCTTTAAAGATGGGTTCATGTTCTCACACATTGACATTTATTGGTGAAATAGTCACAAAATGAAGATGTACACAGTCCATGTAGTGTTGTGCGACCACCCACCAGGAAGGCCTCGTTGAACTCAAAGAGGCAGGGGAACTGTTTGAGCAGCTGGTGAACACAGTCCAGCCACTGCAGGAAGACGGGACACTGCTCGCTGACATCGTCGGCGTTCTCCTGGTGGCCACAGCGGTCCCCAAACTTATGACCGTAGTCCAGCCATTCGGTCTCCACAAGCACCTGGAAGCCCTGTGGACGACACGGCAGTCAGTACTGAAGGTGATGATATTACAGTGCAACATACACTATACTTAAGACTCCAGTGATTTAGCAATGTAATCCAATAACATTGTCGGACACTTAAAAGAGACATCTCCTGGTTTATTCCACAAGTTCTTCGTCTAAAATCCAACTGCATGAAACATTTTGGGGCCAAAGCGTGCAGACTCTCACCTCTAATGTCCTGTAGTAGGGGTCGAGCAGGACCTTGGAGAGGGCTACAATTTGTGGTGTGCGGTCCCACCCGTCCGAACAATGCACCAGGACAGGACGGCCGTCCCTCTCCACCGCAGAACACACCAGAGTGGCTGCCTTCAGCATGACGGACAGGTGCTGCAGCCAACGGGTGCTCTCAAGTGCCGAAAGCCAGCTGGAAACACCAGAGGTGACCGATTAGATAAGTACAAATCGATATAGAGCCTGTCCCAACTGACGTGATCTGGAGCCTAGATAGTGTATACATATACATCAGCTATGGTAACCCAGGGTTAGGTTACTCTGGGTTGTTAGGCTGATGGGGTTAGCAGGAGGATACCTTTGACCTATATCTACGGAGGCCTCCCTACATCAGAATAACATCAAGTCTTAAAATAACCTGGTGTGACATCATAGCAGCTGGGTTAACCTATGTGCTGTACATACAACCACACATAAACACAAACAGTCAGCGATGCTAAAAGACGGAAATGCTTTATACACGTATCCACTGTCAGTGTGTACAGACAGACAGCTGGCACCCCCGCAGGAGTGGGACTGGATGGTGGCAGCGTTCCCATTTCTGTGTGGTGTTGCCTTACTGTGAGGTGAAGCATTAGGGGGGGGGGGGACTCTGAGATGAAGGTCAAACAGATCGACTTACTTTCCTGGATCCGGGATCTGACTGCAGACGGTCCTCAGAGCCTGGAAGCTGTTCCTGATGGCGTGGATGTTGGCCATCCCCATGAACATCACCTCGCAATTGGGGTAGTACTCTAAAAACAAACAAACCACAACTCTGATGAGGACATAAACAAGGCTTGGTGTTAGCATAATGTGTTCAGATGATGGTGCTTTTATTATCTCACTTAAATGTGACATTGGTGTTTTTTAGCAGTGAGTCACTGGTGGCAGCAATCACTTGCTTTCTGGAGATCATATGTCAAACATTCGCATTAAGTTTGGCACCGTGCACAGCGAGGCTACTGTTTACAATCCAGGACCGAGCAGCACTTTCTTAAATAGACGCGAGATCAGAAGCAGCACAGACCAACTTTACCTACTCATACTTTGAGATTTTGCAGGCAGCTTCTTCTTCATTAAACTTTGGCCTCTAAATAGATTGACCTCTATAACAAAGATCCAGAGGCATTGTAGGACTGCCAGGAGTTGGAATGCTTTTAGGTGCCACACACTTTTGATGGCAAAAAAACAACAAAAAACTGCATGTACTGGTGCAGTGCCTGTTGAAAAGATGCCTGCTCAGAACGGGCTGAATGCCTTGCCTGTGGCTTTGCTGCTTGCAGCTTTCTCGAGAATCACTCACAAACTGTGAAACTCAACACTTCACTTCCTTGGGTCCTGAGCAATACCATTTCCAAAACACACCCAACTCACGGTCAGAAACACCGGACTTTACCGTTATACAAGGTAGGCAACCTGGGCCCCCAACTTAAATGCCCTCAAACTGATATAGTTTGCGTTTAGATATAAAAAGTTAATGATGTTACTATTCTGACTCTTGCCTTGAAAAACCATACAAAGGGCCCCCAGATAACTTTAAAATATGCAACTCAGCTGTATACCTTAATACTTAGTAAACATTGTACTACTACTACTACTACATTTACCCACTGCTACTATCATTATTAGTAGCAGTAGTCGTGTTGCTAGTGTCGATAACATTACTGCTTTTGTTATCATTGTTATTCTATAATATCCACTTCTGCTATTATTAGTAGTCTTAATGTTTCCATCATTATTCTGCTTACTACTCTCATATGAATAATTCAGTCACATGCATTGAATGTGTTGTAACTCTGTTATGTTGTTCATTCTGTACACATGACATCTATCACACGTCTGTCCATCCTGATAGAGGATCCTCCTCTGTTGCTCCCTGAGGTGTCTTACTTTTCTCCCCCTGTTAAAGGGTTTTTTGGGAGAGTTGTTCTTGTACCGATGTGAGGGTCCCGGGACAGAGGATGTCGCATGTGTACAGATTGTAACGAAGTAAACATTTGAATGCAGGACTTTTTGTGTGCGGACTTATGGTTTTACTATTTAAAGTCAATAGTTTTACTTATGATTTTAATTTCTTCTTCCACTACTGCCAATACCCACATTCACAGTTGGAGAAAGAGTGAAAAGTAAATCAAGACAGGGTTTGCCTCGGGAACCAAATCACTAAATCGGGCCCTGAAAACACATTCAGGCAAAAGATTCATTCAATTGTTTACGACATTTCTCGAATGTTTGGTCGCACTAACTAACCTTCACATTCGCAGCCTCCGCCCTTGGCTCGGTTGGCCACTGCAGCGGTGTACGAGCGAGCGTCCAGAATCAGCAGCTTCTGTGGCACAGTGTTTTCATCGCAGCCAGAGCCGCCCGTCAGAGACGAGTCTGGAGATACAGGCGGGAGGACAGAGACGTGACTTTTACGAGTGGAAAAGCGTTTATGTGAATCAAACTCCCGGGGAGAGGAAGAGAGAGAGAAAGTATTAAACCAGAGAGCTGCCAGGGGGCATAATCAACAGAAACGGACCATTTGTAACCTCCTGAACATCAATATCTCCACCTGATGGCACAACCACAGTGTTGCTATAGATACCGATCACAAGTCAAGAAACTCCTTTCAATAGCTTCCACGGAGAGAGACGAGCATTCACTCTGAGGATGCAGCTAAACTCCTCCCTGCACTCGGTGCTGTGCTGCCACTCCCCTTACAGCCTGTTGTGCATCCAGTCATGATGTGACAAACCTGTCAAGTCACTCTATGAGATGATGTCGAAGATGTCTTTGAAAAATAACCACAGTCAAATGTATTGCTTGGCACTTACGTTTAGCATCGTTATCTGTCGTTAGTCCACTTTGTAAGTAAGGGAAATGAATGACACATTATGTTCTTCGTTCTGAGTCACAAGGACATTTTCGCATTATCAGCCTGTATTTGAATGTGGTCTTGAAAGCTTAAGCGCTCTAACGGTGCATGCATGACTCTGCAAGCATAAATCAAACTGCTTTACCAAAATCACTATCGGAGGAGTCGGGAGCTTCCCCACGCTGTCGACAGCCTTGTGCTCCACAGGTACCCTTGGCTCCGGTGTCCATCTGACACGCCTTGGCGATGGATGTCACCAAGTACTCGTCATCGGTGTTCCTCCAGCCCCACCAGCTGATCTCGGGCTGGCTGCATCGGGAGATCACTGCCCCGTTCTTCTGGTGCCTGGAGGTCAAGGTTATAGAGTCAGTAAACAAGTTAAAAGTACATATCGCAAAGGAAAGCTCTGTTGTGCATATTTGTGAAAACATGTGATGGCGTGTATATGACTGTGGGTCAGTAAAGCCACCTGTAGACCACCACAGGGATCCTCTTCCAGGATCTGAAGGAAGCCACACTCTCCAGCTCCTTGTCTGTGATCCATATTGGAACCAGAAGCTTCTGTGGGTAGCTGGCGCACAGCCTGTAGACAAGAAGGACAAGACTCAATATCATAAAGGGGAAATGCAGTCGATACTGCTGCACACATTAAACAGCCAGGCTCAGTGAAGAGAAGCAACAACTCCCCAAACCAAGACACAATAGTGACATTGAGCCATTTCTCAGGGTCACTACATCAAGAACTCTCAGCTCCGACAGAGAACAAATCACAAAGTGAGACTGCCTGACTCCATCCATCTCTGGTCTACTCATCCTCTCATGATACTTTCTTCATCGAATATTCACCTGCTGACTGTCTACGGAGGGAAGAGACAGTGTGTGTGTGTGTGTGTGTGTGTGTGTGTGTGAGTGAGAGAGAGTGAGAGATACTGTGCTGAGTCATGGGCCTCAGCAGGCTGCGGGTTGTTTAATTAGCCAGTTGTCCTGTGTCTTTCTCCCTCAGCAGGACGTGCTCTCTTTCTCCCTCCGAGCAGACCGACCTCTTGTTTTTTTAGGAGCGTTTATTTGCCCAGACAGCAAAGGAGACAGAAGAGTTTGATACACAGGAACACACACGGTATACCGCATTACTTCTGCTTGAGTGAGTGCTACAATGTCATTTACGTGTGTGTGTGTGTGTGTGTGTGTTGTTAAAGACTGGACTTGGCGAGAGGGCTACTGGCCTGAGAGGTCAGACAAAGGCGAGCCAGTATACACAATGACCCGAGTTGTTGAAGGCCTTGAAAAAGGAATAGTCCACTGCAACTCTATTGAGTATTGAATAATCAGCACAAGCATGTCAATTGTATCAAAATGTCCATAGAAACTGTTGATCCGCCTCCATAACGGTCGTTTCACTAATAAATTGCTGAATAAGCTATTTCCAGTGCTTTTAGCATTCTAATGGATTGTTTGGAACACACTCAATATATATACACACAAGTTGCAAAGAAGTGGATTACACTGCAGAAGTGGTTGGAGTTTCTTGACACTTTTTTTAAAATCATGACTGTGTGTAGCCATTGGGACCTAATATTGATAATGCAGCATTAAGGGATGTCAATACCAATGAATACTTATGTACTCTGTCGTACTTCAATTTAAGGGAAAATCGTGCGTTAAATTTTGCAACTACATTGCCCATAATGCTTTGGCATGGAAACAAGAAGTCTAACTGCCATGGAGCCAGTTGCATTGTTTCCCACACATATTTGTTGAGAAACGGCCACCATTAAATGTTTGATTCTCAGACCAGTTATAAGATGATTTTTCTCCATTTCATGGATTTAAGAACATTCTATTCTCGATAGACATTGGAGACAAAGAACCTCTGTGAAAGTCACACAAAATCAAACAATGACGTGATGACTAAGAGTATAATAACATAATAATAATAATAAGTGTACTCTTGTAATTTAAGGGCTGTTACACAGTGCTGAGATGTATCCACAGGCTGTTCCTCATCTATTCAGGTTGGACATATTGTAGTTACCGTGTCCTCATTGCAGTCCTACTCTCTGTCAGAGCTCTCAAAAAGCTCTTTGAAACACTGTCACTCACCATCCACTCTGTAAACGACCATCACGACTCTTTACAGTGACAGTATTGTACAGCTATCTGCAGTGACAGAGGGGCCAGTCTATTTATGGTAAAGCATCGGTTACATACTTGAAATTGCAGTTTATGTCCGACACTCTCCAGACGTTCTGCGTGTCGAAGCCCATCCTCTTGACCTCCATTTCCATTCTCTGACGCACGTGATCACCTGCACACGCAGAGAGAGCATGGAGGGAGGACATTATTTTAGGAATATCAACATTTTTCACAAAATAAGAAATCCCAGTTCAGAAATCTAAGATCAGTAGTGATTGTTGTGACTAGGTGCTGACCTGGGCGACAGAGATGAATGTGCTGGTCTTCGTCGTCAGCGTTGCCTCCCAGACACCAGGCATGATAGGCCAGAGCGAACAGGTTCTCCAGCCGGGACGGGTGAGCTTTGGCCCGGTTCAGACGCTTGACCCACTCCTGGCATTGCTTGAACGTTGCAAAGTGGCATCTGTGGACCACCAAACATGAAGATTAGAACGATGAGTGAAATCCAACTACTAAATATCTTGTTACAACTTCATGAGGACTGAGAAGAAAAACAGGAAAAACTAATTTGTTCAGATGTTCAGTTGTATTCCAGCCTTGAAACAAGAGTAACAACGTGGCTGCCAAATGATGAGGAACCATTGATGGCACATCTGCTGCGGAGCATTTAAAGGCTTCCCTCATTTTGAACGTCACAGATGTCCATGAACACAAGAGCATTTCCAGCAATGCTGGTGTTGTTTCCATCTTATGAGTCCGAGTGCCAGTTATCATGGCAAAATGCTCCTGGAGACCTCTACTGCAGTGCGATCTACAACAGCCATGGTGGCGAGTACTTTGCCAGATGTTTATATTTCTGTCCGTCTGTCTGGACAGATTTTGACACTGCAATAGCGTCGCAGCCATGCACGATACGGTCACGTTAAGTTTGAAGGAATATATTTTACTTTATTTTTTCTATTTGGTAGTTGCTTCTGGAGCTGGGTATAACATGTTTTCACTACACATTGTACGAGTGTGTATGAGATACTTTAATATTGATTGGATTTTGACACAATACGTAAGAGCAACAGACTAGATCATTACTTTCTGCTTTCAAACCCATGTTTCGGTGATATATTGACATGAGAATATCAAAAACAATATTTTAAAAACGGGGTAGACCTTATGATTACTTTCATTACTCTTCAATAATTGTTACCATTCATTATTATGTTAGTGTATAAAATGTGAGAAAACACTGAACGCTTTGCTATCACAACTTCCCAGAGCACAAGACAACATGCTGCTCGCCCAGCGGTGTGATGTTTTTTCATGATAAATGACAAACTACAAAAAAACGCTCTTGATTACATTTCATATTAATTAACCGACTAATTGTTTCATCACTCTTGCTCATACAAATACTGACATCAGACTGGTTTGACATGCAGTCTGTCATGATAACACTGACGCAAACCAAAGGAGACATCATAAACAGAAAGTAGAAGAAAAAACAAACGTCTCTCCGAACTTTAAAACATTATTAATGATAACTTTGTTATTGTGGCAACACATGAGCATCAGAAGACTGCATTTCCTCCCTCTACCTACATTTACATAAGCAGGGAAAACCCTTTTTAACTGAGGACACAAGACATGATCTCCATAATCACTTTAAGATCATTAGGTCATTTAGGAGGACAGGATGGAGGAGCTAGAACAGCACTAGAAATATATTAACATCACGTTATTACTACTGTAAGCCTGTAACCTTTCATTTTACAGCTGGGAATATTGATTAGCAGCTAAGCGTGGTCGTGTGTATAAAGTGTCTCCTCACGGCCACACAAGCTATTGTATTATTCATTAAAATGCATACCAGACCACTGTACTGTATTCACTCATGTTAATAACAGCATCAATCTACCTGCAGGGTTAATCGGACATGTTTAACGTGAGGGAGCTGCTCTCCTTACCTGACAACTTTGGAGTCTTTGCAGATGATGTGCAGCTGGAACATATCTCTGCTCTCCACGCTATCTATGAGCCTGAGAGGCACCTGTAGGGGGAGACAGAGTGCACATGTGATCAGCCTGATGGCCAGCTGTCAGAGCAGACAGCACATCTGCAAAGAGGTCGCCACCCTCTGGTCTAGTACGTCCAAAATCCAGGTTAGAGTACACATAGCACGGCTTTATGAGCTCGCTGTGGAGAAGAAGGCGTCTGAAGTGTTTTAACTTTGCCTCTAGACCTCGGTGTTAATACCAAACAGCTATAAACTTGTGGTCTGCAGGATATTTTATTCTGCTTTCTAAATTGTTATATATTTTCATGTGAACTGAGGCGTTAACGAAGTCGCTGCCAAGAGTTACAAAATCACCCACGCAACTTCACTTTTTGTCAAAGCTTTATGCAACAGCCATTTCTGCATCGTGTATGAATGAGTAAATCCTATTTCATGTCTTATAGTAAAACAAAAATGGTTCTGAAGGTCAGCCAACACACTGCACCACAATAATAGTTTCTCCTTTCAGAGACAACAATGAATCCAGTGTTGCCACTAAGTTGAGTGTAAATTACAATCCGTCCTCAGCGCACTAATTGTTTAAAATGAATGATTTAAGCTGTCTAGACAGTGGCAGAGGGTGGTGTTTCATCATACGGTACTCACAGATATCTCACTGTCCACACCTGGGTAGGTCTAAAACACAGTGACACCATGGAGTACACACAGAGAGGGAGAGGGAGGGGGGAGGGGGGAGGGGGGAGGGAGGGAAGACACAAGACAGGAGGAAATGGAAAAACTATTAAACCAAAACCATTCAGGAGACAAAAGGAAATGAAGAGTTAAAAGGAAAGAAAACATCAAAGAGGTTGAAAAAAAAAAAAAATGAAAGATTCCTAAGTGTGCTACTTGCAGCACATGACAGACAAATGGAAATCATGGAGAGAAAGACAAACATGGACGGGAGCAAAGGGCATGAAAACAGCTTAGAAGTGAGATGCGATGAGAGGGCTTGTTGGCATTCATACAGGGTTCATCTGTGCTGCTGGGGTCAAGGCAGGAGTCTGATAAGGACCGTTAGGCTAGGGACGTTTCACCTCAGTGTGTTAATGAGACTCCTCTGATAAAGTAAGTCAAGGTAAAGAGGCACCCTGAACATCCTGCTGATCTGGCCTCACCTCCTCCTCCTCGTTTTAAATCCCCGTCATTCTTTCCATAAGCTGAATTCTTCTGGAAAAGATGACAGGTTTGGGAAGGAGGAGGAATTTTGCTGCCAGCGAATGCAAACAATTGGCCCGTTTGTGTTTGAGCAAGGTCTGACGTCAGCAGGAGCGAGCCAGTGGACATCAGTGCCAGTGGGGGGGGCGGACCTTTGGAGCCTAGACTGTAGATCAGGGGGCCCGCCACTCCTGTGGTACATGTCTGGTGCAAACAACTTCATGCCAACTACGCTGGGATATGACTAAATCCGCTTTATGGGTACTTCATGTGCTACAATAGTTGAGGGTTTATTTGCCTGGTTAGCACAATTATGCGTTTGTACATTTGATATGGGGGAAAGGGGAAAAGTCTACACATTCTAACCTCTCTCTCCTGCTATTGGCTTCTGCAGTGACATCGCATATAGAAGTTGTCGAGGATCACAGGGACACTCGTGCCATTCGGACTGAAGGGAAACTCTACTTTTGTGGTTCGTCTGTGTGTTTATTGTCCGAGACGTGCACTCACGTTGATGACAGAGTCCTTGAACTTGATGTGGAGCCTGTAGTTAGAAATGGCAATGACGGCCTCATCGGCACAGCCAAGATATTCCACCCCTTCCCCCTGAAGAACTGCGAATGGCACCTGTAGAGACACAAAATAAGCAGATTGTTGAGGTTTGAATAGCGAAAACATGACACAAACGTCTGATTATTGGCTTTAATAGCTCTCCTGAGAGCAAAATCATAATATCCACATTTCTATTTTTAAAAAAGGTGTACTCTCCATGTTCTAATTATTGAAGATCGCCATATAGATCTCTCGTTAAGACCAAGTGTCTAAAGCCATGCTAGCTGCCCTGTGAGGCCATGCTAGTTGCCAACATGATGTTTAGCAGGTGTGCTATTCAACATGTTCACCATATTAGGCGTTAGTAACATTTACTGATTTGCATTAACCCAATGTTAAGAGATCACCAATGTTATTACAATTTATTCGGAGTGAGAGCAACCAACCATTGGACCCCACAAAGAGACCGACATTCACTGCTAAAAAACATTTTCAACAAATTAGCCTTGAAATGTCAGATTCTTAGTCCTGTTTACATCTTTAATATTCTGGTTTGAAATCATCATTTTGCAATTAATTAATGCGAAGATCTCGCAAACCTGCTTTGTAATTAAAACAAAATTCAACACCGATGCATTTTAATTTGTTTTTTAAAGAGAAAAAAGGTTTTGCAAATAAAACTGTTTATATTCCTCAAAGGAATGTATCATCCTGGTATCGTTAGTGAAACTCAAGTATCATATCGGCACTGGTATCGACATTATGCAAAGAAGACTCAGTGCTACAACATCACCAACAGGTAAAGTGTCTGCTCGCACCGTCCGTCCTGCGTACTAGAGGCTAAGCTCGTAATGATCGTGGACAGAGTGCCACATATCTGTAATGACAGAGTGCCATTACAGATATGACTAAAAGGGGGACATGGGAGGAACAGTGTGCATGTGTAGCTGTCCAATAAGCACATAGTAGGTTTACAGAAGGACCTTTGTGAGCACAGAGGGCTTGTTGGTGAGCCTGAACGAGCAGGCGCTGGGAGGCAGACTGTGCTGGGAGTACAGTGAGGGATCTCAAACTGACCATTAACATTCTTACTTACTGCACCCATTTCATCACAGCCAAGCCAAGCCCCTGCTTTTACTGCAACGAGACCCAAACATTAAGATAACTGGTTCCCAACAGAGGTAAACATTCCTCTATGGGGCAGGGCTTTAGCTTTCTACGTGGACCACGTGGAAGAGACACACAGCTACAGTTGCCAACTTTTAAAAGATGTCTTAATTCATATACAGTTGCACTTAAAATGATTCAACCACCATTGCAAATTAGGTTTATTGGCAACATTACAAGCTTTTAGCTGTTTTCAATTAACAACTCAAACCAGAACAATTTAAATAGCTCAACACAAGCACAACTAATACTACAAGTGCTTTCTCCTAATTCAACACAAAATGCCACTGCAGTCTCAAAATGATTCAACCCCTTCATTCAAGCATCTTTAGTACTTAGTAGAGCACCCTTTTGCTGTTATGACCTGATGCAAACATGATGCATAGCCAGACACCAGCTCTGACGGCGTTCCTGAGGAATCTATTCCTCATGGGCAGTGGCCTCAAATCCCACCAGAGATTTTCTATGGGGTTCAAGTCCGGCAACTGTGACGGTCACTCTAGAATCTTCCAGGACTTTTTCTGAAACCAAGCCTTGGTGGAGTTTGAGGTATGCTTGTGATCATTGTCTTGTTGGAAGTGACGCCCAAGCTCCTGCTTCCTCACAGGCGCCATGACGTTTTCTCCTAGGAATTTCCTGATACTTGATTGAATCCATCTTGCCCTCCACACGCTGCAGGTTTCTAGCGCCAGAAGAAGCAGAGCAGCATCACCGAGCCACCGTCGTGCTTCACTGTAGGCAGGGTGTTCTTCTCAGCGTGTGTCTGGTGGCAGCCGTTGATAGCTTCCTCTTTCTGCCACGTCCAGGTAGCGTAGCCAGTGTTCCTTTAACTTGTGAACTATGCTTCCAACGGTATCTCTAGGAACATTCAGTGCCTTTGCTATTTTTTTGTACCTTGTCTTGTTGAGGCAATGATCTCTTCTCTTAACTTTTTGGACAATTCTCTTGACTTACCCATATTTCTAATATGCAATCAAACAGAATGGGCCAAGATTCCTCAGGAACGCTGTCAGAGCTGGTGTCTGGCTATGCATCATGTTTGCATCAGGTCATAACAGCAAAAGGGTGCTCTACTAAGTACTAAAGATGCTTGAATGAAGGGGTTGAATCATTTTGAGACTGCAGTGTCATTAAAAGTGGCATTTTGTGTTCAATTAGGAGAAACCACTTGTAGTATTAGTTGCATTAGTATTTAAATTGTCCTGGTTTGAGTTGTTTATTGAAAACAGCTGAAAGTTTGTAAATGTTGCCAATAAACCTAATTTGCAATGGGGGTTGAATAATTTTGAGTGCAACTGTAAAGATGGCGGCGTCCACTAAAGTACAGTTTAATGGAGCCACTTCTAAGGGATTTAAACATTTTGATTTCAAGGAACTATAAGACCTTTTATGACTGCTATAACATTATGTCGACTATAGAGAATACATCTCTTTAATCACCTTGCATAAAACATTCCTTCCGGCTGATGTGAAACAGTAAAGTGTGTTGGGAGACATTTCATTCTCCCACCTGACAAATTTGAGGATTGTATTATTGTGCCCATTCATTGCTCGTTTACATAACCTCATCATACAGTTTCCCCGAGTCATCACTTCTGTGTGAATACCGGCATGCACCGACGTCAGTCTGGCCGCTTTAACTTTATTTACTTTAAATCATTGGGGAACACGAATTGCGACCCAGGTCTCGCTGTTTAGTTGTTGGTGAGGACAGCCGTGTTGCTTGGAGACAACATTACCTCATCCTGCATGCACTGCTGTGTCACGAAGACCCACTGGTGCATGTTGAAAGAGGACATGCAGCAGGGCAGATGGGGGATTATGGTAAGATGTCAGAAAATCAGGCTTACTTGAAATAGCATTAGCCAACGCAGTTAAAAGCACAGCCCGACTTAGTTAGTGCACAGTCGGCACACAAGTCGGATTCTTGTCTTTTTTTTAAATAAATATTGTTGACTGGCAAGGGGTCAAAAGCTTTTGATGACTGTTGGTCCAGAGAGCTTACGTTAAAAAACAACACCAATCAAACCCCTGACATTTATCACTGCGCTGTTGTTGCTCACAACTGAAAGTGTGTGTGAGAGCCGGGACAGGAAGCATGATGAGGGAAAGAGTACAGCTCAACCTGGGAAATGGAGCACGTAGTACTCTGCACTCAGACACCAACACAGGCAGCAGGCCCCCTGGCACTCTGCATTGGGACTTCAAAAAAAGTGGAATAACTGAAATCAGACAGTGCCAGGCACACAAAAACAGCTGGCACCCAAACAGAGCTGAAAACCACCACGATGCAGTTTTACTGTCTGAGAAAAGGAGAAAGCCTAATCTTAAGAGTCTTTGCTTTCTTCATGTGTCAGGGGATGTAGCCAGTTTGCATTAAATATTACTCAAGAGCAGCAGAAATGGCTGAAGAGAGAACAGGCCGCTACTGAGTCCGTGTCCTACTGAGAGTGCCATAGTCAACATGCTGTACGGACTGGGAGCTGCATTAAACAAGCTGTGCTCCAAAAGTAGGTGCATGAGTCACCGGCAGCCAGCAAGAGCAGCAGAAGATACTGTGTCACGTTTCCTCCACAAAGCTTTCAGCAGCAGAAATATTAAAGAAAGAAAGAAAGAAAGAAAGAAAGAGAGAGAGAGAGAGAGAAAAGACCCGTGAATAACTCTCCGACTTGTGAGTCGTGTCTTCCAGTTCAAGCACCCTGCCTGTGAGGACATGCACGTGTGCACACACACGCATAACTGCAAGCATGCACCGCGGCCTGCACGCACACAGGATGAAAGGCAGCAGAGTATTAAATATGGTGGGGTAGGGGAATGCCTGTTAGACATCAGCTGTCAGGGAGTCTATCATGGGATAGCGTGCACACAAAGACGTATAAGAGACAGAAACGTAGAAAATGTTGCAAGGAGACTAAAATTAGCAGTATTTAGTACAGAAACAGGTTAAGATACACCTCATAAACTTTGTTAGACACTATGGTACTGTGTTCTCACATAAATCTACACAGCCCTTTAAGAAATAATAACAATAATAATAAAAACCGCACTTTTTAACAGGTTGGTACTCCCTGCAGTTCATTGCAACCCAAGTTTGCTTAAACCATACAAACTCTAACAAACAGAAACGACATGTAGTGACCCCAGGCTGGGCAAATCCCTCCACCTACCCTTTGGTTCAGTTCCACAAACACATGACGCCTAGCTCCATTAACCACCCGACAGCCAGAGAGCACAAACTCGACACCACGGAGGGCACAGCGAAAGTTATCCTTCACAATTCCACTAGTGGCATCTTCACCATGGAATAGACTTATATATCTCTCTCACTTCAGTGACCTAAATGCTTTTTGGCTGCCTCGCTCTTTATCCTCTGCAGTGACTCCTGCTTTTTCTGTGGAGGACACACAGCCGTACAGCGGAGACAGAGCCCTAGAAGTAAAGACTTAGTAAAAAAGAAAACAATAAAAAAGGGAGTGCATTTTGTATTTACAATTCAATAAGTAAATACCGACGTTCATTATCATAAAACAAGAACTGGAAAATAATAGTTTAGACTTCAACACTGTCGATAATAGCATTGCATGGATGGAAATATGTTATGGTCAGCATATGCACTTTGAATGAAGGACATTAAGGACATGTATAATACTGGAAGATTTTTGAGGGATGAACATGACTAAGTGGAGAGGGGAAGAAAGTGATATAATAAAATAAGTGGTTGCATAAATATATGCCTCATCTTTATACGATGGAATAATTCAGAATCTCTTTTCTAAATAAATGCTGAAGAAAATGTTTTTTTTTGTAGTATAATTACTTATCTGTAGAGACAGAGGCAGCAGCCCTATTCACATGCTAATTATTATTTTTCTTGTGTTGAACACTGATAAAGGACGGCAGGGCCATGACAAAAAAAGTGCTCTTCTAGGCCAGTGTCATCCTCTCTCCTTCGGTTTCTGCCCTCAAGCCTGCTGCGTTGTGACTCTTGCAGGAATATCTTGGGAATCACACTCTACAAGGTGGCGACCCAAGCTTCAATCCAGGTGTTTCAGAGGAACGCTCTGGTGACACGCCAGGAGCCAGGATTGAAGACGAGGTCATAATCTGGAAGTGCCACACTCTGTCTTTTCACCGGCTCCCGGTCGTCTACTCCACAGACATGTAGACGGGTGTCGGAGCAGACGGGACTGTTGCTTTTGGGCGGTAGCTGTCAACGGTCGGTGAATACTGTTCAGCTCACCTGAAGGCTTTCATCCTCCTTCACCAGCTCCTTCTGGGGGAACAGGTCCTTGGCCTGGATGTACTCCAGGCTGGGAGGCCCTTCTTCACCCTGTCAGACACAAACACAAAGCAGGGGCGGTCACACAAATACCTCCGTCATCATGAAGTCGACACAGCAGGGTGATGCTCCACATAGAGAAAAGAAATAGTAATAATAACCATCTTCTGTCAAATCAAACCCAAAGTGAATTACTTATCAAACATTTATCAGGGTGGTTGGCCTTCGATATAAAATCCATGCCAGGTAGAATTTCACAATCCCCACCAACTCACAGACATCACATGGCAGATTAAATATTGACTACGACAGTTCCAAAACTTTAAAAATGGACCTCGTGTTCGGTCAATGAGTCAAGCCATTTTAAAATGTTTACCACTCAATTCTAAAAGCATTTTCCTCGATTGATTAATGGTAATGCTGAAGGAAGAATGCATCTTCTGCATACCCATTAAATATTCTGTTTGCCATGGCGCTGTGCAGGTCGTTCTTGCATGTGCAAATGACAGACAGTATTGAGCAACGAATACCAAACAGCTGTAGACTTTGTGACTGGGTGTTACAGGCTTGTGCAAACAAAGGTACTGGGACTAAGTAAAGTATTTCAAACACCTGACTAGCTTTTCATGAGTCATGCACTTAACTTCTTACACAGTTTAAACGATTCCTTTGCTGAGGTCACTTAACCTGTTTCCATGTAAACTAATTCAAAGTTACATTTCAAAGGTTGCTGGAAAATTAAACCTCCAAATACAGTCTTATCAAGTGCACGTGTGTTATAATGGCTAAAATTAGACTGAAACACCTCAAGAAGCAGCAACGGTGGGAACGAGAGCGGAATAAAGAGGCAGTCAACCCGGTCCTTGCAGGTTGTGCTCCTCTCAGACTGACAGAACAAGGTTTTACCCTGTAAATGTTGCACTAAATAAGTACACAGAAAGTGCATTTACATGTATACCAGCATCTTGATTTTGGATGATATTTGTGATGGGATGTTAACATGTAACAAAGGATTCTGCTCCCTGTATACAGAACGCTAACACGATCCAGGATCATGATCGTCTGCTATGACCTGCAGCCGTGTCTTTCACTCCTTCCTTGCAGCTATTGAGTTACCTCAGCGGTTAAGGATAAACCCAGTTTGGTTCCTGGCTGCCTGAACACTGCTACCTCTACTCTGCTAGATTTGGCTTCTCCATGCGCCTACGACCGTATGTCGATGCTGTTCCTTAATGAAAACAGCAATGGAGTCCTGAAGGGGGACCAGAGGGAGGCAGCATGAACTGACTCAGGTGCGTCTATTGCTAATTAAAGACTTGTGTCCCTGGACAAAAAAACAACAACACAGCAACATGTCATATATTATAGCAGGAAAGCCCTTGATGTCTCACCATGCAGACCTCCTGCCATGTTAATCATTTCACCCGTCAGCCAAAGCCAGCGATGAATCCACATGGTAAACATACCACCCACCTCCAGCAACAAGAAACCAACTTTTCACCATCGGATTTCAAAGGCAGAGCGATCATAGGAATATAATGGCCAAAGCATAATTTATCAGCTTCTTTGACACGCCGGCTTTATTGACAGAGGGCAGAGGAGCTCTATCGGCTGCCTACAGACAGTCTACAGGCTCAGCAACAAAGTAATAGCTTAATGCTAACATGACATGTGCACGTTTGAATGTGAACAAGGGGTAAAACTGGTCACCATGAGATGTTGACAAATGAATGGGTTCAAATGACCAAAGACACCCTCAGCTCATTACTGCAATCAAGTCAAATAACATCTGTTGTCTTATTTAAACAACTAAAGAAGTCAAGAGGGAATACGAGCTGAGCTGAAAAGATGAATCGATTAGTTAAGAAACTTTATCGGCAACTTGTTCGATGATTGATTAACCTTAAAAGATGCAAAAAATATAAATTATTTGAGGATCCTTTATGTTATGTACGACAGTGAACTTAACATCTTTGGGTTTTAGAGTGTACAGACATTTTTCACTATTTTAAAATGAATCCAAATGATTCCAGCCCTGAATGTAGAAGTCCTCGGGTGGAGAATCCTTTGCCGATGCCGAGTTTGTATTGAAGGCTCACTATGGGTGTGGGAAGTCTGTGTGGGAGAGATTGATGGGATAAGTCACTACACAAAGCCAGTCTACCTTCTACTTCTATACCATAAATTGTAGTAAATGGCCAGGGCTGATGGCAGCCATGGAGGTTGGTGTCAAGGCTGTTTGAGACGTCTCCGCTCCTTAAAAGATGGCCCAATGCTAAGTGCCGTCTGGTTTTTCTGTTGGCTTCATTTCCCTCAAATGATGCCTTTATGTTCATGCTAATGCCGTCGTTCCATCCTAATGTGACACACTCAATGTGAAGAGGAGGTGGAATCTTTTTTCTAGCATAATGCTGCATTCATGTAATGTCACTAGAATAGGAAGTGTTCACAGAGTATTCAAAGATGGTTAGCCTCACTACTAGACTTGTAGTTATACCAGATACATATTTGTATCTGTTTACAAACAGTCAACATCTTTTAAATGAGCTAACTCTCTTGTATCAACTACTCTAGTTGACGCCAACAGCCTCATTTTCAGACCGGTCCTCCGATTCCCTCTGCAATGCAACCTTGCTCATCTCTTGACCTTTGACCCGAGTCCGCCATCAGGATCAGACGAATGAGGCAGCTGTGCGTCATAAATTTGACTTGTTTTCACCTGAGAATGGCTAGAGCATGACAGGGCCCATCAGTCAGAGGTGTCCTGCAGGGGGTCGGGTCATTAAACGTTGATGTCACACACTGTTGCTGGGCAGCCACAGACTCCTTTCCTTTTTTTTTTTTAAAAAGGAAATAAAGTTAACTGTGTCAGGCCAGACAGGAGTCATATCTTACTGGAGAAGCTATCTCTACAGGAACTCCCCTTTGGAAATTCAATACAAATGAGTTGAGAGGAACATTCAATCTTTACACGTCCTCTGTCAATAATCCATCCACTCCCTTGGATCCGATACGTCTTGTGCTGCACTATCTGGTTGATACTTGGCACCGTTCACTCAATTCTCTTATGGCGCAGCACTGGCATTGCACTCCTCCGAGAAGCCCGCTAGAACACAGTACTTTATAAGGTTAAAAAATAAAAAAAAAATAAAAATACTAAAAATAGTTATGTATGCGTTTTGTTGCTCCATAAATCCCTGACACAGACTTTTAACACAGAACGGCTTATACAAATGCATCGATGCTGAACATAGAAATTGTTTACCAGATACGTTATTATGGCAGTTCAAAGAAACCAGAGCTGCGTTAAAGCACACACACAGCAGTGGAGATTGAGGAAGACTTGTAGCAACTGAGTGCTCTCCTTCTGATGACCTCGATATTTCAGCTTCATAAGTCTCTTCACATGGCAGACAACACTTTGCTCAAGACGGGGCTCATTACTCTGTCATTACATTTCCATGCAAACACAAACGGCGGGGCACTGCTTTCTGGTCCATTGCATTGTGTGACCACAACCAGACAGACAATCAGCTTACAGCAGATTAAAAGGAAAACAGAATATTCTTTGACCGACTCACAATGATGGAGCACAGCTTGTCCTGTGCCCGACACGTTTTTTTTTTTTTGCTTCGTCACTGCTGTGAGCCTGCGCACCCTCCTCCCCCACCTTTGTCCACCAGGCAATCAAAAAGCTGGAGCTGACAGGCATGCACACATACGCCTCCATGCATTTCTCCAATGATAATTATGTCATAAACACATGCAACGTCTTGATTACATGTAGTGCTGTTACAGTGTTATTATCAGCTAGCAGCTGACTAGACAGCTCCGCTACAGCAGGGTAACAGTGTGTGTGTGTGTGTGTGTGTGTGTGTTAAGAACCTGCAGGCCGAATTTGAGGTTGTAATCATCTGAGGAAAGCATATTTGAAAGATTATCTTCCAGAGATTTCTGAGTGAATGGACAGATGACAACACAGAAGGTAGAACAGGAAGAGAAAGGCCCAGTCTTCATCAATAAGTGTCTGGTTGCCATGGATACTACAACCTCTTTTTACAGTCCCGTTCTCTCCGAAGCTTTTGGAAACAATTTACCGTCTCACCAGATTATTTACTTAATCTGACTGGGGCTTTGTCCTAGAGTTGTGCAGATTAGAGAAGCACTACATGATGCAGAGGTGACCTCCTAAACATGTGGGGAACATGTACTTATACGTCTGCTTTTAGTTGGACAGTTAGTCGCTGTGTTCGACACATAAGCAAACACAGCTTGGCTCACTGTCCGAAGTGTGAAAAATGACCTCAAATGACACGTTAGGAAGTAAGAAAAGGACAAGGGAGGAAACAGAGGATGCAGTGACGGGGCAGAATGAAAAGCAGCAAATAAGAAATGAAAAACAATCAAGATGGAAGATATTCTTTCCTGGCTTGTTTTAGGAAGTGCAGCCTAAATAATGGGTCAAGATCAAAGATGACAGAGTATGGCAAGTCTTCCCAAATGCACTTCCTTTCTCTCCCCCCCCCCCCGTTCCCTCTCAGACCATGTAAATATTTCATAGACCACCATGTTCTGAATGATCACTCCCATTTTAGTTTCGGGCCGGACTCAAAGAGCTGAGGACACGAGGCAGGGGCGGCGCTTTCGATAAGTAAGCACAATTGATCAGAAACAATTGGGCAACGATTTGTAGCAGTGAGCAGGAAAATCTTCAATTAAGAAAACAATTTATTCTGGATGGTAATTAAAGTTAACAGTGAAAAGACAGAGACCAGGAACGTATAGACAAATATTTAAGGCAGTACATACTGAGAAAGAGCACAAAAAGTGCCGAGTTATCTTATCTAAAGAACATTCTTCTCGTTAAAAAAAAAACCAAATGCTTCGTCTCATATTGTTGCATTTTTTCCCTCTTTCAGGATGAGATGTTCCTGATAACTTCCTCCCACATTGATATACCGTGTACTACTTAACAGAGTTGCGTTCTTGGTGTCAGGCAGAGTTGGAAGACCCAATACCAGACCCATCACCAGTACCACGGGTGCAAGAAG